ACAATAGTAAACACAATTTTTTCAGTTAAAGGCAGTTCATCATTGAATTCAGTGATGTCATCAGCTAGCTCAGTCCAGTTTAAATAGTATCTGTGCAATCAAGTCGACGATATCGCTGGATATTAAGTGTGCCCAACTAAGCAAGCCAGAGGCGACAGCGGCAAGGAACCAAAACTCCATCGGTGACAGAATGGAGAAAAAAAATAAAAAATTCTCCGAAAAAAATTTGTCACTCTGCATGAACTTTTAACTTGAAATAGTAAAGGGCATACAAATATGAAATAAAAATTTTAATTAATTAGAATTTATGATAATAAAAATTTATTGATTTTTATATTTGTATAATTTGTTTATAATTTATGTGAATGCATACTGTGTATGAAAAAATTATATTACACTTTTCCATTTCATGTAATTTAAATCTTACTGATTAAAATAAACCATATTCATACATGCAAAATATTAGCATTTTGCATGTTTAGAAATAAATAAATAAAAAAAAAAAAAAAAAAAAAAAAATTTTTTTTTTTTTTTTTTGTTTTTTTTTTTTGTGAGGGAGTCAAGCACACGTGTGTTTTTAAATGTGTGCAGATGAAGCAACAAGCAATTAGTATGTAGAAGAAGCTGGATGGAGGAGAGCAGAGCAGCACATTAGCATAGAGGATTACTGCAGCTTTACGACTCGAGCTGGAGCCGCTGGCCACGCAAACCAATCATAACCTGTGCCCAAAAAACACCTCTGGGGCCCGTTGGGCTCCGACACACACACACACACACACACACGCAGACACACACACATACACACACACAGACACAGACACACACACACAGACACACACACACGCAGACACACACACATACACACACACAGACACAGACACACACACACAGACACACACACACGCAGACACACACACATACACACACACAGACACAGACACACACACACAGACACACACACACACAGACACACACACACGCAGAAACACGCACATGCAGACACACACGAACGACAGCTGAACGACGTCTCCTCTTACACACTCATCCAGAGAGACGCGAGAACGATACGTCATGTTTCTGCTCGGATTAGCCAAGCCTCTCTGTTGAATTATATGGCTGGAGGCGTAAAGTATAGATGGGAGGCGTCGCTGAAGGCCGCTGCCATGGGCGTGTTCATTTGTTTAGCGTCCAGTGGCCAGATGAACAATAATCAGAGGAGTTTAGCAAACAGGATCGGGCCGGCGTGACGCTCCAAATGCGGCTAGAAAGAGTCCAAACAGCTCAATCATCCTGGCAGTCCATCTGTGTGTTAGGGTTGTGACGGTGAGGAAATTTTCCCACCGGTTAATCGACGCGTGACAACACCGGTAATACCGGTATCACCGTCAGCACCGTCTATCGCGGCAAGCCTACTGTGTGTGTGTTTGATCACGCTCATATGATGATCTCTACATGTCAGTGTCATGTGTGTGTGTTTCTGAGTGCAACCAAAAACATGCACGATATATATATATATATATATTCCAGCAGAGTAAAACTGTAAAAGAAGAGTACAGTGCTGTAAAATCAGCACTGGGTTTATATAATAGTGTCAAAATAAGTTCTGTTACTGAAGCCAGTTTTGGAGATTTCAGTTGTTTTCTAGATGGAGCTGTACATTATAACCAATAGCTTGTATGGCCTAGAAAGAAAGTCAGGTAGAAAAGAAAGTCATTTCAGTGATGGAGCAAATTATTGCGTTTGTTGACCGATTATGATACCATTTTTTGCTTTGATGTAACTTGAAAGTGACATTCTGCAGTGTGCCATGTTAAACTGTTCTATTCTATGCTATTCTATTCTATATATAAAATATTAAGTATTATTAATATTTGTTTATTTTTATATTATCTTTATAATATTCTAAATACTATAAGTGTGTGTGTGTGTGTGTGCATATATATATATATATATATATATTGCAGTTGTTATTTTTATATATATGTTTATGTGCTGAAGAGTTATGCATTACTAACATTTTAATATGATCGTACAGGTGCAGTTTTAAGCAGATGTGTAGTAAAACCACAAATGAATAGCATCGGGTGAATTACTGACACAAACTCCATCAACTTTAAACAATTTTGCTTTATTTTATAATAATTATTCATGTTAAAATTAGTTTTAATAATAATGATGATGATGATGAATGCAATTTTCATAATTATATTAAATATATATTTTATTAGCTAAACAGCCATGCATTACACTGATTTTACCATGATTATATAAAAAAAATCACTAGCACAGCTTTTTATGAAATAGTTAGAAAATGAGATCTGTTGCTTACACATGCGATCTTGACAGGCAGTCTTTGAGATTCAGTCGTTCTCTGTTGAAGTGGATGGAGCTGAAATTCTTGCCTGAGGGCTTCACAACAACCAGCTCGTTTTAGAAAACACTTGTGTAAAGGGGTAGGTTTAGGGTTAGGGGATAGAAAATATCGTTTGGTCAGTATAAAAGTAAAAGAAGTCTATGGAAAGTCCCCAAAATTCATAGAAACCTAACGTGTGTGTGTGCAGGTCTGGTGGTGCGAGAGGCCAGTATCGAGATCACCCGTCAGCAGGTGGAGGAGCTCTTCGGTCTGGAGGATTTCTGGTGTCAGTGTGTGGCCTGGAGCTCGGCAGGAACCACCAAGAGCCGTAAAGCCCACGTCCGGATCGCCTGTGAGTCCAAACACACTACAGCACACGCCTGACACACACACAAACAGGACCTGAGACGACATGGAGGAGTGTATGCTGACGTTTCCCTTTCCTCTGGTGGAGCTGTGTTGCGTTTACATTCTTGTGGTGGTTTTCCTCATTTAGTGTTGCTAACAAAAGCAGCATCCTTAATCGCATTAATCACAGCGCTGGTGTTTATAAGCAGCTGCTGACCTCTCTCCGTCCAGCAGCCTTCTCCTGAAGAGTTTATATCCACGGACAGAAATCAAGCTTGATGTTGCATGTCTCTCTGCGTCTCAAACACAGATACCTTTACAAACCCGTTTCAGACAATACAGTGACATTAGAAAGGTGTGTGAATGTGATTTATTAGATCAGGCAATCACAAAAGTTTTTATCAGTCAAACCCCTTTCAACTGAAATATGTACTTATCCCTGAGATTTTAAGTTAATATTTCAGTTATATAACAACACATTTGACGCATGACATGCAGGTAAACAGATAAAACATTTCATGTTTTTTAAAAAAGATTCTTTATGCAAATTTTTGTGTATTAATTATTAAATATAAAAAAATACTTAAATCATAAATATAACAAAATATTTGATGTATTTTTTAAAATATATTTTTATTTTATGCATTTTTGTGCATTAATAACTAAATATAAAATAAATACTTAAATAAAAAGTAAATATAACAGATACATTTTTTTTGTATTTTTAAAAAATATTTGTATTTTATAAATTTTTTTTGCATTAAATATAAAAATAAATACTTAAATAAATCATATATATATAACAAAATATTTCATGTATTTTTAAACATTTGTATTTTATGTACATTTGTGTATTAATAATTAAATATAAAAATAAATGCTTAAATCAAACATATAACAAAATATTGAATGTATTTTTAAACATTTTTATTTTATGCAAATTTTTGTGTATTGATAATTAAATATAAAAATAAATACCTAAATAAATAATATATATAACACACATTTTTTATGTATTTTAAAAATTATTTTAATAATTATGCAAATTTTGTGTATTAATAATTAAACATAAAAAATAAATACTTAACAAAATCATATATAAAATAATTCAAATGAAAAAAGGAAAAATCTTAAGTTTAATTTATATATATATATGTTTATTGTTGTTGTTTTTTCTTTGTTTATTGTTTCTTGTTTTATTTAAATATTTGATTTAATAAGTACAAATAAAATAATTAAATAAAAAATATAATACAAAATTGAAACTTTAAATAAATGTTTGTTATTTATATTCACTGCAGATTTTCTTAGATTTTCTCTCTTTGTATAAACATTTTTATTTAAAGTAAAAGACACTTTCGTTGATATTATATGATCTAATGAATGGCATCCAGAGATTTTTAGGTGTGCCTGAAATGTGCTTCTATTTGGGCTGCTGTTATATTGCTGAGAGCGGTTGGTCAGTTTCCAGCAGAGAGCCGTGGTGAAGCAGCTTGTTTTTCCAGCATGAGGAGCCGCTGCTGTACTGAAACCTCACTCGTTCTCAGCTCAGACGGAGGAGATCTTCAGCGTGTGAACGAGAGATGCGTCCGCTGTGTGAAATGAGTCAGTCATGAGACCAGAACAGTAATTTCTTCATGAATCACACTGCTCTGATCGGGCTGTTTGTTTATTTTTGCATGCAGCCTTGGAACACTGCAGCCATTTATTGTCCGTTTAATTCTATTTGCTGTAGATTCAGGAGGAAACACTACAGTATTTGCTTTTTCAGTGAAACACTGCAGCTGGCACCTGGTTAGGGCACTTAATTACTCCTCCTCGTTGACCTGTTGATCTCCTCATGGGCTTTAGTTACAGTCGATCTCTCAGTTGAGCTGGTCTCAGGTCAGTGTTCTGCTCTAATGATCGTAACCTTTGATTCAAATCTAAACGAGTCTCTATTCAGAGGCTAATGGAAACCACAGCGATCATTTAGCCTTTTTCAGCATCCCGTCTGTGACAGATGTTTTAATCAGGGCCTGAGTAACACTCCAGAGCGATAAATAAGCAGCGTTTTGTTGTTGTGGATCGCTGATCAATGGAAGCGCCGTAAAGTTCAGGAGCTGTAGAAAGCTGGCGCTCTCATTGAGAATATTAATGGAGAGCGTGATTTGTGAGCGTGTCGCATCGGGCACTTCCAACGTGAGTTATGAGGGGACGAGCTTCGATCCGGACGCAGATGCTGTTTAACACGGACTCACACACTGCTGTGATTTACCTCCACACAACACACTCAACTAGAGAGAGAGACTCACAATAGCACACTACTGTGATGCTCATACTAGCGCTGCTGTGTTTACTGTCACAATGGAATAGCTGACTGAAATACTGCGTTTGTCAAAATGCACAATATACAACTAGAGCACAGTGTGTGAAATACTGTATCCAGCAATGCAATGCACTTGACTTGACCTTCCATTTACAGTGTGATGAATGAACTGGAAGTCATAACAGCCTTTATTTATAACCTTTTTACTGGATTTTACCTAAACAGACTGCCAAATTATAAGACACAATTTGTTTTAAAATGCAAATTTATGATTCATTTGTAAGATGATAGCTAGATGCTGGTTATTGTGTTGGAAAAAATAGTATTTTTTACTATATTTTAAATGGCATTTTATTTTACTATATCTATACACATAAAACTTAAAAGTGAAAATTTAAAAAAATATATATTTTAAAAATGAAGTTGTTTAAAAATAGTATTTTTTTTTTAATTATGACTTAAAGTATTAACTATATTTGATTTTACTACAGTATATATACATAAAACTTAATACTTAAAAATAAGTATGTTTGTATATATGCATACATGCATAAAATTTGTATTTTGAATTACATTTGAATTACATTCAAGTTTTAAGAAATAGTTAAGCATTTGTAATGCATTAAAAACTTAAATATTAACTTAAATATTAGTTATATAATAATTATATTTTTTATATTTTTATATTAAAAATAGCTTGCAGTATACTGTGAAATATGGTGCATTTTGGCAGTATGCAGTTTAGTTTTTCAAACAACCTATATTCAAAATAGCATAGTAGAATACTATTATTACCATTTCTGCAAAATATAGATAAAGCAGAAATTATAGTATGCTATTCTTATCACTGCAGTCCTTCATGCTTGATGTTCAGAAGAGAATACTAGCTTACTCTTACTGAATACTGCAGAGTATGCTCTGTATACTACCTACTGTACTATTCATTTAGTCAAACAGTATGCATTATTCCCTGACAAACCGTTTCAAACACTGTCACATACTATTGCATGTTTAATTCAGTGAGAGGCATCCAGATAAAATTATTTTAGCATTTATAATCTAATTATGTGTAAATATTTACTTAATGTCGCAGCCTGATCAAATAATGAATCATAAAAGATGTTAAAAATCACAGTTGACATTTCAGTTGTTAGACTGGAAGTAGGTTGAGTGCAGTGCAGTGCATTATGGGATGCAATATATTCTGTGCAGTGTGCACATTTAGTAGGTCATCTGGATATTTCAAGCATATGGGAAAATTGCATACTATACATGGTATGCACGCTATATATACTGCAGCAATCATAGGCGTAGTATGCTGTCCCAGTCTCAGTGTGTACTGAGGGCTGTTTTGTGGGTTTGGACGCTGATCTGGATGCAAACTCAGAGATTAAAGCTCAAATCAAATGCCGGATTCCTTCATTGGTGTTCTCATTGGCTGACGAGAGACTTCAGCTATGTAAATGGTCCTTAATTCACTAACCTGTGTAATTTAGCGCAAGTAGCCCAACACATGCACTCAGTGTAATTGTTTTCACATGCGTCCACGTGTGCGGCCGCGGCTCGGCAGAGGAGGCTCATGGGAGCACGAGTGCGGTCAGGGGTTCGAGCGGATCTGCTCGCTGCGTTTGGCTGAGAGGAGCCGTCATCATCACGGCCAACACAAGCTGTGAGATTCCCCCCGAAGCCAAAGCCAACAGGAGACGCTTTGTTGTGTGTGTTTCCCTCAACGCATTTCATACAGTGGCAGATCTCAAAGCAAACTCCACTTTTAGAAAGGAAATCTGTTTCATTCTTCTTTCTGTTGTGTTGCTAGGGTGTTTTGGGTGGTTGCCAGGGTGTTTGTGAGTTACACGCTGAATTGTAATACTTGATGTCAGAGGTTTGTTTAGAATATTTATTGTATAAAATATTGAATGTTTTCAGGCCTTTGTAAGATTCAGCTGAAGTTAAATGCTTAAATGAAATCTGACTAATGCTTGTATGTTTAAAACTCACTAATGTGTTACCAGGGTTGCTTGATGGTTTCTATGAGGTTGCTAGGTTGTTTTGGGTGGTTGCTAAACAGTTTCTAGGGTATATTTTGCCTGTTTTGTTGTCTAACAGTTGTTATACAGTTGCTGTGGTGTTCTGGGTGGTTGCTAGGGTGTTGTTAAGAAGTCTCTAAGGTGTTTTTGATCCAGAAGCTGCTATATGGTAGCTAGGTTTTTTTGAGGGGTAGTTAAAAGGTTGCTAGGGTGTTCTGGATGGTTGCTAGGGAATTGCTATGAAGTCTGTACAGCGTTTTTGGTCAAACCGCTGCTGTATGGTTGCCAGGATGTTCTGGATGGTTGCTAGGGAGTTGCTAAGAAGTCTGTAGTTTTTTTTTTGGTCGAACAGCTGCTATGTGGTTGCTAGGGTTTTTTGGATGGAATCGCAGTTTCCACAACTGTGTTCGACTAGAAGCGGCGCCGCTCGGATCGATCAGTGTTTGACATCTGCGAGAGCGATTCGAAAGCCCACGGAGCAGTCTGCTCTCTATTGCTCTCGTGGTACTGTAATACACTGATCTGTCTGCGCCACGTCAAGTCGAACACACCTACTAGTTTACACCGTTAACACACAGAGATGTGGCGCACACGTGAGGCTGTAGTGTGAACGCGTCCACCCCCCTTAGATGTAAGGCTACATTTACACTGGTGCGTTTTTGTTTTAAA